AAGAGAAAAAAGGGGAGAACAAAACACAAACTACAGAAAAGAGTTGACAAACATTAATAACATGCAGCAGTGACAGATAAAGACACGGGGAATGAATGAATAAAAGGGGATTGAAGAAAAACTGTTCAGTGCATTGTGGAAGGTCTATCAGCAGCCTAAAATTATTGCAGCATAACTAAGAGATGGTTCAGTGTGACCAGATCCAGCCATAACTATAAGCTTCATCAAAAAGAAATGTTTGAAGCCTCGTCTTAAAATGAAATAGAGCTCTACAGCGTATTTGATTTCCATGTTAAAAAAAACAAAAAACAGGCACAGCAGAGTAATCGTGATCTTACCTGTGTCATCGGTTATAGTATTGGTTGATGTGGTAGTGGTGGTTGTTGGTGTGGTGTGTACAACTAAAAACAGTTAGACGCACAGACAGGAGGTCATGTTTGTTACTACACAGGGGTACACACTAAACAGCACAGGTACAAAATGACAGCAACAACACAGAGTGAAATATTCACAGTCACAACAACAGGTTACGGCACTTGGCAGAACTTAGGCCATTTAGATGAAGAGAAAACCCAACAATAAGAGGATTGCCTATGAGCAAGCATTTGGTGACAGTGGGAAAGAAGAACTCCTTTTTATCAGGAAGACTGCCAGCAGAAACCGGCTCAGGGAGGGGCAGCCAGTGAGTGTAAAGAAAGAGAAAAGAAGGAGAGCATGAAGAGCCAAGAACAGAACACAAAGTATAAGATATAAGACAGACAAAAATCAATAGCATGCAGTAGTTACATATAAACACACAGGGAATGAAAAGAATGTAGAAATGCTCAGTGCATCATGGGAGTAACATTAGTCTCAGCCGATAGCAGCACAAGTAAGGCATGGTTCATGGTCGCCAGTTCCAGCTATAATTATGAGCTTTTTCAAAAGGAAATGTTTGAAGCCTCGTGGTAAAAACAGAGAGTGTGCCTGTCTCGCAAATTTGAGCTGGGAGCTTTTTGACAAGTTAAAAATCTCTCTTTCCCAGTCAAATTGAATTTTGCATTTAGCAGCTGGTTTCATTTGCATGATGAAAAACAGACACAGCAGTGTAACTGTGGTCTTACCTGTGTCACTGGATATAGTAGTGGTTGATCGTGTGGTAGTGCTGATTGTTGGCATGGAAGTGATTGTTGTTAATGTGGTGTTTAAAACTAAAAGCAGGTAGAGGCACAGAAAGGACGTCATTTTGTTATTTACACATGGGTGCCCATTAAACAACATGTGGGTTACCAGGGTGAAGAATGTGAAAAACAACAACAAAAAATATAAAGATTGAACAATCACAGACAAGATCGCCTTAATATTAGAGAGAACAACCCAACAATGAGAGGATTCCCTTTGAGCAAACACTTGGCGACAGAGGGAAGGAAGAACTCCCCCGTGGTCAGGATGGAGGGTGAATGGAAAGAGAAGAGAAAAAAATAGAGAGACAAAACTTTGGAAGAGAAATGACTAAAGTTAATGACATGCAGTACTGACATATAAACATATCAGGAGTGGAGGGGAGTGGAGAAGACCTGGTCAGTGGACCTCATGAAGTCCACCAACAGCCTGAGCCTACAGCAGGATAACTGAGGACTTTTCCAGGATCACCTGTTTTATGAACAAGGCTCAAAGCCAAATCTTAAAAGCAGACAGAGTCTGTCTCCTGAACCCGCTGTTTACCAATATTTCATAGATCAAGGCCTTTATGTCTAGCTTAATTAACTGATTTTTGTCATATCATTTGATAAATACAACTCAACATCATCTGCATAGCAGAGACATGTAGACACAGAAGAACTTCATAAGTAACTTTTCCATGTAAGAAAGATTCCTTGTTTGTATTAATAGCTGGAACAGAAAACTAACAGAAATATATGATTCAAACAAAAGCAGTGGATTTCGTCGAATACAGTGTATTCTAGTGTCCGTAGAAAGATCTTGTGATCAGCCATCTATGATGAGCCATCTGCGCTATGATGAACTCTAAACTCTGTGATGAACCCGACTGAACTACTAACTACAAAGATTGCAGAAAGGAAGCACAGGCTGCAAGAACTCACTGGCTTTGATGTTGAACTCCACCACTTTAGAGCCAAAGTCATTGCTGGCATTGCAGAAAACTTTCACATTGGAGGTGATCTTGAAAGTGACCACACTCTGAGCGCCATCTTCAGTCTCTGTTTGCAATGCATTTAGGTTCTGCAATAAGGACAGTTAAAGACAGAAATAGAAAAGCAGATCCAAGAGCAAACAGGTGAGAAGACAGTTGAGCACAATATTGATATAGACTTCCAAAGACTAAAGGTTTGCATGCCCATCATCATCGTGAAGGTAAATTAGACATTAGCTCTGTCAGTCCAATCAAATTTATTTCTAACTCAGTAAAATCCAACCAGTAGTGGTACAACGGATCACTGTTGATCCGTGATCAGAACCGATCCCACTCCATGGTTTGGTGATCCGAAGATTCGAAAAAGAAAAAAAAATATGTGTATGGTGGGCGTGGTGAGTCTGTCTGCAATAGTCATGGCCAACGCTAGCGGTCCAAGTGGAGGAGCAGAGGAGTTTGCGGCATTTAAGCAGCCCTTTGCTGCCCAATTTGACCGGGCTAAAGCTATTGGGGTGTTTAGCTGCAGACGCGAGGCCCTATTCCATTGTGCAAAACAAGGCGTTTAAACATATGATGAACGTGCTTGAGCCACACTATGATATCCAGTTGCGCGTCCACTTCAGTGACAAGATCGTTCCAAGCATGTTATGAGCAGGAAAAGTCTAAAGTTATGGCTGAACTGTCCCAGACATCTTCTGTTGCCCAACTACAGATGGGTGGACCTACAGGGCAACGGAAAGTTACGTGACCGTGACCGCTCATTATATCACAGCGGAGTGGTAGATACAAAGACTGTACTGCCCTATATAGCACCTAATTTGTTTTTTATATAATTGCGTGGAATGAGTATTGAGTTGAATGTTTTTTAATGGGCAAAAAAATTAATTTTTCTTGTCTTGTTTCGTTTTTTGCTGATCCGAAAATTGATCCAATCCGTGACTTAAAACCGTGATCCGATCCAAACCGTGAGTTTATTGATCCATTGCACCACTACCAACCAGTGCTGCTTAAATCAGTGAGAATCTGATGTGATGTCAGCTAAATGATAATGTTAGCATGCTAATGCTAATTAACCATTTTTACCATTTTGCTCTAGAAAGTTAGCATGCTTTAGTGCTTTTAGCACTAAACAACTGCATAACTGAGGCTGATGGACATATCTAACACCCACTTTTAATCATAAAACAAATCACTGCACAAAATATCTCGAGGCACAAAATGTCCGGTAGTTGTTGAAACATTTTGTTCAATTTTCCTGCATCTGTATTGCTAATCTGTTCAGGACTTGCTGATTTGTGGTTACTAAGACTATTAAAACTGTACAAAAGTGAAGACCATACTAATGTGAAATCTCACCCACAGTCCACCAGCCAGCTCTTTTTTAATCGTGTGCCATAAACGGCAAAATACCACAACAGTATTGGAAAGAAAATGCATTTAAGTTAAGTTTAAAATTCAAGTTAAAAATTGTGTTCCACTATTTGCCCCACTGGACGCATTTATCAAAATGGAGGTCTGGAGAACTTTGGATCAACCTGTTGAAGTCACAACTGGAATAAGCAGATCTCTGTTGTGGCTGTGACTAAGCCGAGAATGAGAAGCTTCCCTCTGCTGTACCTTCCCATCAGAAGTTGTCCACATAATTGTGGGAACAGGAAACCCTCTGGCACTGCAGGTCAGATTAACAGTTGTCTCATAAGTCTCCACTTCTTGGACATCTGGCCCCAAAATCTGTGGCGAACCTGCAGAAAGAGTAGCAAGAAATACAACCTTATGCAATAACTATGCAGTCACAAACTTTGAACATGGTCTCATTTAAAGAAAATACAACTCACCCTTAACATTGACTTGAAGTATGCCACTGGTTTTCATCCCCTCCATCTCAGGAACGGTCACAACACACTTATACATCCCTGCTGTTTCTAACGTTGCGCTCTTCACACTCAAAGTGTTGCCTTTTGACACCAACTTTTCATTCTAGACAAAGGTGAACAAAAAACGCTTGTTTGACTCAACACGTTTAAATGAGCATCTAAGTACTGGGTGAAATAGGTGTTAGAGGCCTCTAGTCAACCTAACTGACTCTGCCACAGTGTGAAATGGTTGTTTTCTAAGTGCATCTTACTTGTTACTGTTAGACAAGCAGTTGTATTGTATATATGTATGTATCTATGTAACCTTAAACCAGGTTGTGGATGTCTGGAGAGAAGACAGGGCATTGCAGCTGGCCTTCAGCTCCTCTCCTTCCATCACCGCAATGCTGTCTTTAGGCGTTATAACAGCAGATTCAAGGTCTGCACACACAGACAGAGAAACAAGGCATAAAAGTCAAACAGAGAACCTACTGGTAAAATGTATTTGATGAAAAGCTCATCCAGAGTAAAATACTTACAGTTAACCGACACCTTAGTACTCCCTGAGATCTCCTCAAAGTTATCCGTTTCCGTAAAGGTGCACTCATAAACTCCACCGTCTAAACGCGTCACATTAGTCCGCACCATTGTCTTGTTGTCCACAGAGTATTCACTCTGCAAAGTTCAAGATTAACTTTAATGTCCTCAAAGTGCTCAGGAAAACATCGAATTACAACCATTTCCACATGAATGAGGAGTATGGAAGTGCTGATTTTCTTACATTTTGGTGCTTAATTGTGGTGATTGAGGATGGATTGTTGCCATTGTTATCGCAGCGAAGCTCAAGTGTGTCCCCTTCCTTGATTTTGCCCTTTGGTGACTCCACCCAAATATTTACTTCAGTGGGGAGATCTAAAACACAGAGAGATGAATTCAAGATTAAACTGCAAACCTGAACTATCCTTAAAAATAGGAAACTCTGAGGCCTGTCAAATCAAATTAAGGAAAATGTTATTAGTATAATATCCTATAATACTTGAACAATAGTGTTATTTTAACCTAGTGAACTTCATGAGAAACTATAGCATCCATTTCCACTTCAAAAAATCAAAACAGATCCATTAAGAAACTTCTTCTAGTTTGTTTCTAGTTTTTCTAGTTAGGTGTGCAAGAACATTGCATGAACTGGAAACCAAATCCAAGCCAGTTTGGTTTCAATTGGGGAAACTCACAGTATACAGAGATGTTAATGCGCTGACTCTCGGTCATCTTGGTCGCTCCAGGGACAAAGTAGACGACTTCGCAGTAGAACTCTGCATCTTTGTCCTCTTTCTTAACTTTCATTGTCAGCTCACTCTGGACTGAGTAAAGACCACTCGATTCAGTAGTGGTGCTGGAGGATACATCCACCTCTGAAAGAAATGAAAATACTGTAAACATAAAAGAACAGGACAGACACAAACTGAAACAGCTAAGGCATTCCAGTTTTAAATATCAATCTGCCTTACCATGTTGAGTATTGCGAAGCGGCATGTTGTTTCTGTACCAAGTGATATTTGGCTTTGGGTATCCGTTTTTGACCTTGCAAGACCCAATCTGGTGGGAGAGGGGGTAGGTAAGGAAATTCAAATGATAAAATTGCATCCTTGCATTTTGTAATTTTAGTCTTTGATGTTTGTGATCGCCAAAACCTTTTCACCTTGGATTGATCTTCATTTACTGATATCCCTGTTTCCACGGCCTCAATTGTAGGAAAGGTTGGTGATTCTGCACAAGATGTAAGAAGAGATAAGAACTAGAAAAGGAAGCATTTAGAAAGAAACAATCATAGATTCTGATAGCTAAAAATGTCAGAAATATTGTAACACTATAGGTATGTTAATACAGTGAGTTCCATAATTTGTTGGACAAAGACACAATCTCTGCCTCCGGACACAGTGGACTTTAAATCGAAAAATCCAAATGCGATTTGAAAGCAGTTTTTAATTTAAGAGGTTTTGCAAAGTAATTGGACCTAAATTGGACAAAAAAAGGTAATTGGCCAGGAAAACTGGTAAGCAGTTTCATGAACAAGTGAGGTCTGTTCCATCTTCTTTTGTTTTTCTTCCAAAGCAAATGAAGCAGATACAATATCTGAAGTTGATCCGTTAACTTGTAGCAGCAGCAGTAAGAAATATATGGAAAATATGGAGCAGCATACATTAAGAGAGGATACTGATGACTTGCTTAATGAAAACAACCGTTTCAGTGCGAGACAGCAGACAGCATAGAAAAAGCAATAAAAGCTTTCAGAGTCTTACTAAACACTTGGAGCTGGGTTCGTCCCTCTGCTTCCTCACGTGTGAGAGTTTTGATGACACAGATAAACTCCAAGTTGTCCTTCACTCCCACATCTCTGATAACCAGCACAGCAGCGGTTCCATTGACGTTCAAGCTGATCCGATGCGTGAACAGTGTGTTTTGTTCTGCAGCCTCATGCATTGGTTCCTTGTTGTAGATTCTCTGTCTCTCCTTATTAGGTGGCACCTAAAGGTCAGAGTTTACAGAATCAAACATCAATCAAACAGAGAAACGTGACACCCATCACACATCTGTGTGTTTCTGTGCACGCTAAGCTTCACCAAACTCACATAGAACCACTGTATGGTGGTGCCGCCCAGGCCCTCGTCAGTTGTAAACATGCAGGTGATCTGAGCCGTCTCTCCAGCCATTACCTCCACTTTGTCCTCCATGTTCACCACCACTATGGCCCATGCTGAAAAAAATACAATAAATTACCCACCAACATATATATATTTTTAAAAGAACTGGCCAGATTATTAAGCAATTCGGTGCTGCACGTACCGTACCGTATCTACTTAGCTTTAAACTGATCTCTTTTCTCATTTAAAAGAGGACCGTTACACTCTGACTCACTGACATGACTTCCATGGCATTATTGTCACAGCTCTGTAGCTGTTGTGTAGCCAGCTGCTGTATGACAGTTAGTGGCACAGTCAGCCTTTATGCAAATGTAGTTTAAAATGATATGACTGATTCAGCAAACCAGTATAATGCTGCAACAGGGAACCATCAAGCTTCATACCAGGACACACTTTATTCTCTCTGTCTAGCCAGTTAATATGAGTCCTTCCTTTAGTATCCAGCCTACCCCTCTCCCTGCTGTACGCCTAGCCTACCAGTACTCCCACTACTCTCATGTACTTTCTTCACTACTGCCTGCCTACTTTAAATTTTCTCTACTAACATTCACTCTACCACCAAGTCTCCTTGTCCTCTTTCCTCTCTCCAATGATACGCCAAACAACTTCTTGGCAGAAAAGCATGTGTTGGAGAAGTTGTTTTTAAATCACATCAAACTTTTTTTCTGGCCCTGAATTTCTTGCATCCATACCAAGATATATGAAATTCAGCAATAACATCCTTATATCAACAAGAACAACGAACGCTTAACCACTAATGGAAATGGACAAGATGGAGATACAACAAACCCCAAACAGGCAAAGAATCAAAAATAAATAACAGGGAAGAAAGTTGTTGCGAGTCAAAAGGAAGAGGGAGATGCTATGACAGGAATGAGAAGCCCACCCATGTCCACATTAATGTGCTGCATTCCAACATGTCACCCTCTCACAGGAAGAAAGGCCCAATTTACAGGCAACATAGTAGCCCCACTGTTCCTTTATGATCTGCCTCTGAAGACCGAGTGGTTTTTCCCCCTTCCAGGATCTCCTGATGTGAGGCATCCTTTAAATCTAAAGGAGGGACCCCCAATTACACTTTACATCCCAGTGTCTCACTGGATGCTTGACATGCCAATGAGAGATATAGCCTGGAGGTCATGAGGCTGCCAGGTTTGATTTAATCTTTCCTGAGTGTCTGTGTATTGTGAGCGATGGCAGGAAACATCTTAGTTTATGTCAATCGAAGCTTAAGAGAGTGTAAATATGATTCGTAAGTGTCCTGCAATAAGCAGTTTGAGCTTCAGGAACCACTTACAGTTTTTAACCAGATTCATGGAGAGTACATATTTAAAAAGACTAAAATTACATGTGAGCTAAAAATGATACTGTGTGTTATTTATAACAGTTTATCAATCTAGCTATGAGTGCATAGCTTAGCATGTAGCACTGGTAACTTCTGATCAAACACAAACCTGGAAAAGTCCACTGGCACAAAGCAGCTGATTTTACAAATGAAGATAAAAAGATACTAAAATAAACATATGAAGTGGTCAAGCTCACAATACAGGATGAAAGCAACAAAACAGCCACACACAAAGCGGCAATGTAAGTTTGTGTGTGTATGTGTGTGTGTGTCTGTGTGAGGAAAACTATGGTCTGAGATCAAAAAAAGAAAGAAAAAAAATCTGCATAATAAATTGCTATAATTACCTAATTATTATATTTCTAGATATATATTAAGAAAAATGAAACTGTTTTAAAACCATTTGCATTAAGGGATACAGTTGCTTGTAATAATCTATTTTTATAACTGATGCTTATGGTGGAAAGACTTCAGCCGCTTTAGTCTCTGCACACCAGTTACTGAGGTATCAAACAGGATTGGTGAAGCTATTTTCAGGCGCACTGATTGGTCATTAAACGGTGATTTCATTCATGTTGGTCTCTAATCTCAAATACAACCTTCTATGGAGCCAGTTAAGTCTGCAGAATAAGTTACCATGGTGATGTATCACCTTTGTAATAGTGAGAACACAGAGTTAAACCTGAAGTTACCCGGATAAGCCCACATCCTGCTTCTTAGGTGGACTTATCCTTGTTCCATAACCGTAACCTGGACACAGTTCAGCTGTCATCACACAGCTGTCTACTGTTACTTCCATTTATACATAACACACAGAGCTTTAAGGCTTTGTTATTTATTGTTAAAGTCACAGTTAAGTCGATCACTGATGAAGCTATGGATTTTATTGGCAGTTGTGATAAATTAGAGAGAAATGACACTTCCTTTCCGCTCTGTCATCGCTTCACCCTGCTAGCATTACAAAAATCTATGTGCTGTGATCCAAATGATCAAAGAAAATGATGTAAGCGTTGACACTAAAAGGATATTAAAGGTTTTAGCTTTTAGCTTTATACATTACTGGAAATTTCAGTGCGTTTTTTTCCCCAAACATTTTAAGTAAAATATTGGTGGACACATGTGGCTGTGCACTCTTTGTATTAATAACAAATCTGAGCATAACTTGCTGAGACAACTAGAGCTACTACTGCAGCACATACACCTACGATGAGTGTGGAGCGCAGCACAGGGAAAACTTGGTAAAGCAGTTTTTGTTCCTTCCAAAAGAAAAACTCCAAATATGTATTTTTAGAAAGGACATTATCCTGCGTCCAACATCAAAAGACACTCCATCCAGGAAAAAGTGTCAGATGTGTGGTCTGGCAGTTAAAGTGAATTATAACAACACCAGGACTGTCCACTGATGAGCTCATCACCGACACACATCCCTGCTCCAGTCCTGTTGTTTCATCTAATCATCATTTCATTGGATAACGCACGTTTACAGTAACAGCTGCCCCCGAGCTAAACCCCTCACTACTGCAACAACAACAAACATACTTTCCTTCTCTTCCTCACCTCCTGTCTCTCAACCCCCGCCCATTTTCTCCCGCTCTGCTGCGTGTTACTGTTTACTAATGGAGCTGGACGGATGCTTTCCTGTTAAAGAAATCCAATTAGTTTCTCCAACACAGACATTTCCTGGCCATTAGCGACGGAAGGACAACGCTGACTCACTCGCAGCACCCCATCCCCGACCTGAGGACTCACCTACAGTAACAACTGGGTTTGAGATTGCTGCTGTGCAGTTGAAGCTTTATGTTTTGAAAACTCTTTCCCCATCACGTCTGACAGCTGGAGTGTTTGCTCATGGGAATCTCAATCACATCTCATTAGTAACTTGACCAGTATTCATCTCCACAGTGCATCCATCAGAGAAGCTGCCCGCAATGCATTGGATCGATGCTCTCCTCGTGATGAGAGAACGGATATTAGTCAGTGTGCAGCGGATATCAGTCTTAAATAAACGTGACAGAGAAAAAGCTGTGCAGCAGAAAGCTGGACCTCTCCACGGTTTCCACTTTGCAAATGATATTCTTTCCACTAACAAGTGTTGCGACAATGATTTCACATACTGATGTTGGTATTATTATATCTAAAATAATTCAATTTCCTTACCAATGTGTTTTCATGTTTTTCACAAATCTTGATGTAGGAAAAGGTCAGAAACTGTACCTGACTTGTTTCATTCAAGTATCCACTCCGTTTTCCATCATGCAATAGGACCGTCAGTCAACTCTGGATATATTACGTGTTTATTCTCTCTTATGCATCAGACCAAGCCATTGAGGAGGCCTCTAAAAATCAGTATGCAGCATGACAGCAATCCCAGAAATAAAGGGACATCCTCAGCAGCAACAAGAACAGGGAGTCCTGCAAAAGCTGACAGAGAGCTGTTCAACTGCTCATTAAAAAACTCTAATCAGCTAATCACATGGAAGTAACTCAATGCATTTAGGCAAGATGGTCAAGATGACCTGCTAAAGTTGGCTGAACATGGCGTGGTTGTTGGTGCCAGATCGGCTGGTCTTAGTGTTTCTCAAACTGCTCATCTATTGGTAGTTCATGAAACACAACTATCTTTGGGCTTTAGTCTGAAAAAGGGTTTCAGACTTTCTGGGTGAAAATGTCATTTTGATATCAGAAAACAGAGGAGAATAGCCAGATAGGAAGGCAGTAACAGTAACTAAAAAAAACAACAACACTTTTTACAACCAAGGTATGCAGAAGAGCGCCTCTTAAGGTGCAACATGCTGAACCTTGAAGCCACAGCAGCAGAAGACCATATAGCGTGCCACTCCTCTCAGCTAAGAACAGGAAACTGACCTCAACAAAACTGGCCAGCAGAAGATTTGAAAAATGTTGCCTGGTCTGAAAAGTCTCTTTTGGATGTTAGGGTCATAATTTGACATAAAAGACATGAAATCCTTCCATCCTTCCTCATATCATGTGGGTTCAGGCTGTCAGCAGTGATGTAATGGTGTGAAGGATATTTTCTTGGCAAACTTTGGGCCCCTTTGTACAAAGCGACCATCTTTTAAGTGCCACAGCCTATGATCACAGTGTTTCCATCTTCTGATGGCTGCTTGCAGTATAATATTCATATATAACCATGTCACAAAGCTCAAACCATCTCAAACTGTTTTTCTGAACATGACAATAAGTTCACTGTACTCAAATGGCCTCCACAGACACCAATTCTCAATCCAACAGAGCATTTTTGGGATGTAACGGAAAATTTGGCATCATGGATGTGAAGCAACTGTGTGACGCTATCATGTCAACATGGGTCAGAATCACTGAGGGATGTTTCCAGCTCTGTGTTGAATCTATGGGGTCTCTGCATCCATCCGGGGTGGCTGTAGCTCATCAGGTAGAGCAGGTTATTGGTTGCTCCAGTCGGCATGCCAAAGTATCCCTGGGTAAGATACTAGCAACACGTTGCTCTGCAGTGCATCCATTGGAGTGGGAATGTTAGATAGAAAGCACTTAAGCAGGTGTGAATGTGGCATGTTGCATAAGGTTCTTTGAGTGCTCAGGTAGAGTAGGAAAGTGCTGCACCAGAACCATGTTTCTCTGTCTTTCTCAGCAATCTTTCATCTCACCTGATCTACTCCAATCTCAGCATGTATAATAATGGGAGATTGGAGCAGTTTAAAGTCGAGTGTG